CATTTTATATATATATATATATATATAGTAAGTTTGACTACGTTTTGCCTGTCTCCACTACCACATCATGAGTTCCCTACTCTACCTCTCAGCTCCATATTTTATAGAGCCCATCACGTTCAGTAAGTTCTTCTCCAGTGGTCAAAACTTTCTTCCTGGGCAGCCCCGGTAGCGCAGCAGTTTAGCGCCGCCTGCAGCCCAGGGTGTGATCCTGGAGACCTGGAATCGAGTCCCATGTCAGGCTCCCTGCATGGAGCCTGCTTCTCCCTCTGCTTGTGTCTCTGCCTCTCTCTCTCTCTCTCTCTCTCTGTTTCTAATAAATAAATAAAATCTTTAAAAAAAAAAAAAACAACTTTCTTCCTTTCTTCTGGTTCTATGCCCTGCAAGCAATTCCCTGATGATTTGATGGGTTTCCCAGGGAGTATGGTAATAGGAAGTCTTGACAGTGAATACACATGCCTTCTGGTCATTAGAAATTACACATGGATGCTCACTATCAACGTTCATAGGCTGGAATCTTCTTTTACACATCAGTTTCTTTCTTTTTTTTTTTTTCCTTCATCAGTTTATTTTTCAGATAAGTAGGACTCAGTTGATGGGAAAATGACTGACTCTGAGTCATGATGATCCAAGGCAGGAAATGCTCTTGGAAGGGCCATGTAAGCAGCCCAGCAGAAGTCCCAGATGCCCCTCTGCTCATCACTCAGGCCCCATCACTGCCCACCTGTGCAAGCCTGAACCCTTAGCATTCCCTCTGAGTGCTTCCCAACACATACAGTCCTACCCAGAAGTTCTAGAAATTCCACCTTATAACGATTTCTTTATCTATTCCCTCATCTCTGGTCCAAAGGCCTTGCCCACAGTGCAGGCTTCACTATTCTTCATATGGACTCAGGTTTCAGTTCCCTAAACCAGCCTGCTTACCTTCTGACTCTCACGCTTGCCAAAAACACTCCATGTGGCCACCAGAGTTCTTCTTCCAAGCAAATCTGATTTTGCTTCCCCAGTTACATTCAACAGTTTCCAGATAAACTCTAACCTATTTAGACAATGTATAAATCTGTCCTGGAGCTGGCCCTGGGCTACATTTCCAGTCTCTACCTTCTCACCCTCTCCTACCCCACATTCCAGCCATTCCAACTACCTGGAATTCCCTGAACATTCCATGTGTTTTTGCACCTCCACACCTTTTCACATACAGTTCCTTCTGTGAAAAGTGTTGTAGGAGACAGCTATATACCTTTCCAAGATTCAGTTTAGACATCATGGTCTCTGTGATGTCTTCCTAAGCTCTCTTTCCCCACAGGAAGAAAGTTGTCCTGCTCCTATGGTGCCACTATCACCACACTCATTACAATGACAATTATTTGTCAACCTATCTGCCTCCCTCCTCAACTATGGATGGCAAGGGTCATATATTTCTTCTTTGCTTCCAAGTACTACGTGGTATACCTAGCACAGTGTGCCCTAAGTGTTCTCTGTTTGAATGAATGTTCTGTATTAAATCCCTTCTCTTGCTACATTCAAAGATTTAGCCTCAGTCCTCACTTTGTGTATAAGTTTTTGACATATATTTGACAACTCTGGTAGAGGGGTACCTCAACCAGTGGTTTAGTATAGTATGCCTTTGGCTCAGGTCATGATCCCAGGGTCCTGGGATCAAGTCCCTCAACCAGCTCTCTGCAGGGAGTCTGCTTCTCCCTCTGCCTATATCTCTGCCTCTCTCTGTATGTCTCTCATGAATAAATAAATTTTTAAAAAATCTTTGACAGCTCTGGTAGAGTGACAAGTGCACCAGACCTGTGTTTGAGGGAGGGCTCAGTAGCTGCATGACGCTAGGCAAGCACAGGGATGGTTTATTTCCAGGCTACTGTGCAGATGAAGTGAGATTTGGTGAAAACCATAAGCCATAACTCAAGTGTAACATATTGATGATTATTACGTTTAAAATCACTCTCTGAGCAGCCCTGGTGGCTCAGCGGTCTAGTGCCACTATCGGCCCAGGGCGTGATCCTGGAGACCCTGGATCAAGTCCCGTGTTGGGCTCCCTGCAAAGAGCCTGCTTCTCCCTCAGCCTGTGTCTCTGCCCACCGCCCCCTCTCTATGTGTCTCTCATGAATAAATAAATAAAATCTTTTAAAAAATAAAATCACTCTTTCTTGCCTGATTCTAGGCTTACCTTCTGACTTTCTCCTGAATGGCTGTGGTTAGATAAATGAGATATTACTGCATAGGTGGTATATGGACAGAACGTCTTCCCACATCTCTGTATCTAATGTGCTCATTAGAGAAGATTAAAGGAAGAAACTCACGAATCATATGTCCCTAAATTCTTTCTTACAATCTTGGCTGCCCTCTGAACCTCTTCCAGATCTCTAGGTCCCTCGGAAGTTATTAGAGACAGAACAAAGTCCTAGAAGCAGCCAAGAGAGAAAGTAATTTAAATACGATCATCAATACCTTCCACTTGGGTCATGATTTATGGTTTTCACCGAATCTCACTTCATCTGTGCAGTAGCCTGCAAGTAAAACAGAAGTTGCATCTTGCCTAGGGTAACACAACTCTTGAGCCCAGCCTCAAACACAAGTCTGGTGCATTTGTCACTCTACCAGAGTTGCATCAAATATATGCCATAAATCCATGCACAAAACTGTGTCTTTTATTAACTGGGGGATTCTGCAGCCTAATCATAACTGTGGCTACTTCGAATGTGTTCTTACAAGGGTGTACCTGCATGTACAAAAGTTTGAGGACATTACAAGGGAAAGGAGGGAATTACTGAGTGGGGAAAAATTAGAGAGGAAGACAAACCATGAGAGACTCCTAACTCTGGGAAACAAACAAAGGGTTGTAGAAGGGGGAGGAGGCTGGGGATGGGGTAACTGGGTGATGGGCACTAAGGAGGGCACCTGATGGGATGAGCACTGGGAGTTACACTATATGTTGGCAAATTGAATTTAAATTTTAAAAAATGTTTTTAAAAGTTAAAAAAGAAAAGTTTGAGGACATCTCTATTCCCAAGGTAGACACAGCAAATTTAAAAGGGGTGACTGATGGAGGTAGGGACGATGCCAGAATCAAGTAACAGTAGCTGTCAGATGACATAAATTGAAACCATCAAGAATGAAACCTGATGCACTGAAGTCGGGTCAGCACTCTGAAGGCACCAAGGAAGTAAACACTCATCGCCACCCCAGAGGCCTGGAAAGGCATAGTTGTACAATTGAGATGTGCAATGGTGACTGAGTCACCAAAAGAAATGCCAAGTCATGAAGGCAAGCAGACATATCATTGGTTTTAATGTGATCGCAACAAAGATAGTTAAAATAATAGGATCCTATGGCTTAAAGGGATGCAGCCATCTTGGAAATTTTACTTAGATGGAATAATCCTTACGCCACCCAAGCTAAGTAATTGCATACCCGCATTTGAGGGCACCTGAAGACAGATCCTAAAATTAGTTTCACCAGTAAGTCAACCTACCAGATCATCTGTAAATGATACAAGAGAAATTACAGATCCCATTAAGACCTCAAGGGAAAACCTCCTTCTTGTAACTCACAGCAATGCTTTCCACCTCTCCCTGATTGCTGCCCTGCGGGACAACCATCCCCATACACAAAGATGAGTCCGAGCCACACACGGATGCACAAAGCACAGGGGGGCTGGAGAGGAAGCTGAGGAGTAAGATGGGGCAGTGGAGACACCCCACAGACACCCAGGTCTCTGCAACCGAAAAAGCAGGGAGGCTGGAGAGGAAGCTGAGGAGTAAGATGGGGCAGTGGAGAAACCTCAAGAAAAGGAGATATAAGGCTGACTGGCCAGCATTTATCCAGGGAGCGATTGCACCTGCTACAAAATGCCTGCATTCCACAGCTGCTGCCACCATCGCCTGGGTAGTCGCTCCTTAAAATGACAAAAGTTCTGAGCTTCTCCACAACTGGGGCATGGAAAGGGTCTCCAAGGTTTCAGCGTAGGAGGACATTTTTCCAGAAAAGAGGCACCTGACCGAGAGGGCTGAGGAGGATCAGCTTCTTGGTACCACCAACGTGGCTTTGTTGAATGTGCAGGTTTAAATGCGTTATTTATGAGACAGAGCAGAAGTCAAGGTAGATTGAAATGACAGTTTTAAGAATCCAGCCCATAGAAAAACTCACGGAAATGCAATACGATATTCACTGGAGCATTACCTGTATGACCGAAAAACTGGAACCAACTTAAATGGCCACTAATAGAGAACAGATTCGTTAAATAAACAATACACCCTTAAAATTATAGGAAAAAAATTCATGGGATATCATGAAGTAAAAGAAGTAGATTTCTAAGTAGAAAACGCTACTGGTAAATTTCTGGGGAAAGGCAAAATCCGCAGGACTATATGTGTACAACATCCCATTTTTTAAAAACAGAACAAAACTATGCTTGAGGGACACCTGGATGACTTGGTCGGTTAAGCATCTGACTCTTGGGTCTCAGCTCAGGTCTTGATCTCAGGCTCAAGAGCTCAAGCCCCTCATTGGGCTCCACACTGGGTGTGGAGCCTACTAATTAATTAACATATTAATTAATAAAACACACTTCTACACTTCTTGAAGGAATTAAAAAAAGTTATAAAGGGCATACAAACTGCTAATGGAGCTCACCATGGGAAGATGGAGCGAAAGGTAAATTGTTCTCTTTGTTGCTCATTTCTGTCTGTTTTTACACGTTGCTACCATTTGAATTTTCCCAGAAAGCATACACTAATGCAAAAACAACAGGAGGGGGCTGGATGGCTCAGTAGGTAGAGCATACAACTCTTGATCTCCAGGTTGTAAATTCAAGTCCCACATTGGGGGTAGAGATTACTTAAAAATAAAATATTTTTAAAATAATAATAAAAACATTAAGGGTGTTTGAGGCATTCCCTTCCAGCTCTCCTCCATGGCTTACTGGACTCACGTCCCACCCAGCCTGCCCTGGTGCTCCAGCCCACACCTCCTGCCCTGGCCCCACTTACAGACACAGGCAGCAGCCAGCAGGCGCCCAGCAGCATAGGGGGCGAAGCAGCTCGGGAAGAGGGGCTGCACCATGTAGTTGGCAAAGGTGATAGCAATGATGGCCTGACTGGTGGGTTCAATGATGAGGAGTGAGGTCCAGAGTCGGATGAAGGCAAGGAATCCCCCGAAGGCCTCAAGGATGTAGGCATAGCTGGCCCCAGATTTTTTAATGGTGGTGCCCAATTCCGCATAACAAAGAGCTCCAAAGACAGAGAAGAGGCCCCCAACAGCCCAGATGACCAGGGAGAGGCCAAAGGAGGCGCTGTACATGAGCACCCCCTTGGGGGAGACAAAGATGCCGGAACCAATCATGTTCCCCACGATCAGGCAGACGCCATTAAGCAGCGAGATCTCCTTCTTCAGTTTTACCCCCTCTGGGCTGGCTTCATCCGCCAAAGAGGAGGCATCCCCCTCTCGCTGGGAGGCCACTTCATAGTTAATGCCCTCAGCCATGGCGGAAGAGGAGAAAGCCGTCACCAGCTTCTTGGCATGCCTCTACGGAAGGGAGAGAAAGATCTAGATCAGATGGTTGGCAATTACATAGAACTCTTGCCCATAGTGGTCAACATGGGCAACGTCCTGTCCCCCCAACTCTCAGAGCCCTCGCTGGCCTCCCACCTCCCATTAGCGCCTCTTCCCCAGTCTGCCCATTAAAATAACTCCAGGGATCCCTGGGTGGCGCAGCGGTTTGGCGCCTGCCTTTGGCCCAGGGCGCGATCCTAGAGACCCAGGATCGAATCCCACATCGGGCTCCCGGTGCATGGAGCCTGCTTCTCCCTCTGCCTATGCCTCTGCGCCTCTCTCTCTCCCTCTGTGACTATCATAAATAAATAAATAAATAAATAAATAAATAAATAAATAAATAAATAAATAAATAAATAAATAAATAAAATTAAATAAAATAAAATAACTCCAACGCGGGGCACCTGGGTGGCTCAGGGCTCAAATGGTGATCCCGGGGTCGGGTCGGGGTCGCATACCACTCCCTGCAGGGAGTCTGCTCCTCCCCCTCCCTCAGCCCATCCCTCAGCTGGAGCTAAGCTCTCTCTCTCACTCACTCTCTCAAATAAATAAAATATTTTTTAAAAAATAAAAATAAAATAACCCCAACTGAAATTTTTAAGGGAAAGCACTCATTCCCTAGAGAGAAAGCGGCTGTTTCTCCTCATTAGGAGGGTGCTGCCCACCGGATTTACAAAATAGAAACCTAAATCCTGGTTCTACTTGAGTCTGCTTCGATAGAAGGCAAGTTGGCAGTTCCCAGGTATAACCATCATGATTCAAGTCTGCGTTTTTCGGCCTCACCCCAAAAGAATCTGTCTACCTTCTAATTTCAGTCTCATCTATGATCTATGCTCAGCTGCAATGTTAGGAACCAGCCTTACGAGCAGCCTATCTGTGGGTTCTCCTCACAAACTTCTCTTCCCCGCTCAAGGACAGTGTCTCTGGCTTCAGAGATCCCTTGCTGGAAACCTAGAACACACACCCCCCACCCCCACACACACCCCCAATCAGGGTGCCTCCCTTAATCACCCTTAGGTGAAGTGGGTTGCCCTAGCAAAGCCCAAGCAGCCCCGCCCCGCCTGGAAGCAAAAGGACAGATTATTCTCCTCTTTTCCTTGCTTTTCCTTCCCAGACATCTTTCCCAGCCCCTAGTATTCCAGGTCTCCTGCTGTCAACTTCCTCACATCCGCATAGTTGCATCACCCAAAGTATGAGTGAGAGAAGGGTGATCCAAAGGGACTGCCCAACCTCAAGATGATTGGAGGCAGCTGATGATGGCTCCCCACCCAGGAGCTACAGCCGGAGAGACGGGCACCCAAAGGCACCCAAAGACGCAGAGCAGAGGCAAGGAAGTCGCTGAAGCATCCGCAGGTGCCTGGCAGCGCAGAGCAGGAGACAAGTAGGGAGGAAGAGAGGCGAGGCTGCTCCAGCAAGGGGAGAGGTACCAGCGCCACAGGCACTGGGGAGAGGAAGTGACTGGACAGCACAGGGCTGGGCAAGGTGAGCCGGGATGGGGGGCGAGCAGGGGTTGGGGGAAGCACACTCACTCCCTCACCCTGGGTTCCAGCAGGTTCCCGCTGTGGCTGTCACGGGCAGGCAGCGCCTAGGAACTGTGGCCTGACCACTCCTCCTTTTCAACCAGCAGAAAAAGGAAAGGCCAGGCAAATGCTTACGGATTTAAATCAAATCGAGAAGTTAAGATGGGTGGAGGGAGTGAGGGAGGAGGAGAGGAGTGTTAAGCAACTGTCTGGGTCCAAGGTTCACTGGCCTTTCACATCTGCAAAAGGGGCAGCTAGGAGCTCTTGGCTCAGCACTTTCCGTGATAAGAAGGCACTCTCAGGAATCTCCTTTGTCAGCGCTGCTCCAGGACTCAAAAGAAATGACGGTGGCCAGGTGCAATTTCTGCAGCCCCAGGGAAGCTGGCCCGGAGGCAAGTAGCTAAAAAGGAATGCACAACCCTCGGTCCTCCAGGCCTCACCCTCGCCCCAACTCCCCTAACAAGAAAGAAGAAAGGCAGGGAGGTGGCAAGTGTGCCATAAAAGGTGTCTTGCTGTGAAGGAAATGTAAGTGCAGTCCCCACGCCTCGCCTCGTGGTCTTGTGATGGGCCTCCTAAGAGAGGAACTCGGCACACTTCCCTTCAGACCCAGGGCGGAGCCTCAAGCTATTTCCAAGGAAACAAGGTCGAGAAATGATACTCAAAGCCCTGGCTGCATCCCCTCCCCACTTTCATCCTTGAAAGAAACCAGAAATTCCTATAAACACCTTCCCCCAATACTAGTTTACTCCAGTTTCCTAAAAATATGAGGAAAGTAGATTTCATTGAGCTATCCTGGACACATAGGCCCAGAACAGACAGAAGTGAAGCATTTTTTTGAAATCACATATTCTATCTTCATAGTCTATTTCAATCTGATATTCTGGGTCTCTTTTACCGACAAAAATACATCCTATCCATTCTGAAATCTGTCGGTTCCTTCCCACAGTCTTTCTGACCCTCTCCGGTTATTCTACAACCAGAGAACGAAGATCTAAAAATCCCCGAGGGGTGGGAGGGTGGCTTCTCTCTACCCTATGACTTTGCATTCGAGCCCCTTGTTATTATTACTTTAACTGGGAGGAATACCCTGGCGTCAGCCTTCCCAGAGACCATGCTCCTCCCGAGCCATCCTCACAAATATCTGGAAATCCCTCCAGAGGAAACTCGTTTTCTTCCAGCTGCCCTCTCCAGGCTCCTAGGAACCTGTCCTTTCTGGAGCAGTTACCCGGGGCCAGACACACCGCTCAGCACCCAATGCCTTATCTCACCCAGTCCTGCCTGCAGCCCCTTAGCCCCTTCGGCAGGCACTAAGTCACAGGCCAGCCTCTGACCCAGCTCTGGGCGGTCGCCCCCGCCCCGGCCCGGCCTGCCCCGGCCCGGCCTGCCCCCTCCGGGGGGAAAACAGCTCAGATGGCTCCGCTCCCTCCTGAATCACCTGGGGGTCGGCGTGAGGGGGAAAGCCTCTGCCACCCCCCGGCCTGCCGCCGAGGCTGACGACCCCCGCGGAGCCGGCCACCGCCCTGCCGGCTGCCCCCCCCCATCCCTTCGCAGGGGTGAGAGGCGACCACGGCCCTCCTGGCAGCCGGGCTAGCGCTGCGCGGCCCACTGCTCGGCAAACAGACGCACGGAAACACACCCCCCCGCCTGCCATTTTAAGACCAAACCTAGTGGCACCCAGGGGTGGGCCCAGCGTCCTAAAGGAACATAAACGAAAGGAGTGCAGGGGGACGAAGGAAGGGGAAACCGAGAGGGAGCAGGTGAGGAGCGCGGGGCTCCGTCGAGGCTGGGAGAGGCCGGCGAAGCCCTCGGGCAACCCGGGGGGCGAAGCCCACACTCCCGCCCACAGCGCACCCTGGCGGCCGCCCCGGGAGGTGCCGCCGGCGCCGCGTCCTCGCCCACCGCCGCCCGCAGCGGCTGGACCCGGGAGGCCATCCTTCGGAGAACAGATGCCCCCTCCTTCCTCAGCCGCTGCTTAGCACCAGCGGCCACGGGCGCGGAGGCACCGTCTCCCGCAGCCCACGTTCCTCCCCGAGACTGGTTCTCAGGCCGTAAGTAATTCCACCATTCCCCCAGCTGGGACCCGCCTCTCCCAAAGGGCGCTCCCAACCCCAGGATTTGCAGGAGAACCCCGTAGAGTGTGGAACCTAGGAGGTATCAGCGGTCCTGATACACAGCACCCCATCTTCGTCCTGCCTGAGGTGCGTATTCATCCTCTCTAAGGACCTCGAGGAGGTTACAGGGCAACACTCAGCCTATGGGTGAAGTTTCAGATTCGGGGGTTCTGGGAACACAGGCACAGGGCCTCCCCGCCCCCCATGCCCAGCACATCAGCCAGTGGAGCCCACCTCCTCCCCCGGCCCCAATCCCACCCGTGAATGGCAACTCCAAGGCAAGCTTCCTCCAGGAACCAGCCCACAGTCCGGGGTCTTGGCTACTCCGTCAAGCTCAAGTGAGAAGACACTTTGTACCCCAGGCACCCGGTGTCCAGCCTTCCTAACTCCAACTGGTCTGTGCTGCCTCCCCTAACAGCATGAACAGAAAATACGTACAGTGTGCCGCAGCTGGATGCCCCCATCACCCCAAGCTGGAAGCTCAGCTCCTCCCTCCCCAGCTCTCCTTTTGTTTTTCTATATTCCACTGTGGCTAGATAGTCCCTTTAAAGAAAAAAAAAAAGTGAAACAAGAAATTGTTTACTCCTGTGGCCAGGGCTCCCATCAGCGTAGGGCTGAAGGCTGTGGGCAGAGGGCTCTGCCCCGGGAGGGCCGGGCCAGGACCCGGAGACAACAGGCTCTTGGGTGTCCAGCCGCCCACTTTTCAGGACGCTCAACTCCATCCTCCTGCACTTCCCCTCTCGCCCTCACTCCCGCCTCTCCCACCTCTTACCTGTCCCGTGACCTTTGGGCAGGTGCGAGGAGGAGGGGCTACGCTGGGGGCGGGGGAGGGGAAGGTGCTAGGAAGGGAAGCCGGCTAAGGCTCGAGCTGCAGCAGCTGCCGACTGCGGGGAGCAGAAAAGGCAGAGAGGGTGACGGGGACCGAAATGGAAAACAGGAAAACACATGTGTGACTCTGGCCGGCAGCGGGGAGGGGCCAGGGGATGGGCTGGAGCCTGGACTGCCTGGTCAGACCCAGAGGACCTCGTCGCCTGCCCGCCTCTAGGAACCTACTCTTCTCAAGTCTCAGCTCCTCCCGTTGCCCACCTCAGCCCTGATCTTCCTTGTTGCCCTACGTCCCAGCGGTCCCAGTGACTGACAGTGCCCTCCTGTCGCCCTTTACCATTTGCCTGTTCCCCTCATCCCATCTACCCATCTCCCACTCCCATACTATCCTTGGTCCTGCAGAGGGTATAGGATTCATCATTTGGGCCCTGGAACTCAGCCCCGGTGTCAGGCAACACATACTGAGGAAGACCCCTTGTAGGGATACAGCCAGATGCCCCAACACAAGCCCACGCCC